AGTAAGTAAATACTAACTAACCAGTCCAGAAGAGGGGAAAGAAAACTAAATGAGACGAAAAACTCTTTCTGGTTTTCGTAAGGCGTCCACCCATCTGTCGTCAGGGAGACCTTTTTTATTTCTCTAAAGGGTCGAGTTTCCAGCAAGAGCGGACTTTTACTTCCTCTTTACTGGACATCAGCGTCTAATCTGAAATATGATCATGTACAACCGTAGTTCTCTGAAGGCCGAGCAAAGGTCAACACACAAGAGACTGCAGAGACACATAAAAATATAAAACAGTATATCAAACAAAACATCTTTCTTACTTTAACTTTGTACTTTTGCAATCTGAGCTAAGCAGTCAACAATTATCAGTCTTAAAACACAGGCCATCAGAGTAAAAGCACAGGCGAATCATGTTACTACATGGTTTGTATATGTGTCAGGTAGTCAAACAGTATCGATATGAAGGCCCCCCAAGAACCAGAACCAGCTGCTTCCAGTGTCCTTTTCTTCACATTTTTCTCATTCTCACAACACAGAGTTAAAAGTTTCGTACTTACAGTATGAAATAGCAAAAACATGTTTCACATCATGGAAATAATGGATGGAAGCTGCTAATCTATCAAAATGTTCAAAAGAAGTAGGAAGAAGAAGTTGTCTCGTTTTATTAGTAAAATTTGGACAAATGGAAGAGCACGTGTATTATTAAGCACAAGAGCCAACAGAGCGTGTCAAACCCATAGATTCTCCTACATGCTTGCAAAGTGAGGGGTGAGCGGTGACTGAGCCGTTATTTGCCATTCACAACCCTCACCACTAGATGCCACTAAAACTTACACACTGAACCTTTAAACTGTGAGTTCACTGTTCTCTGTCATCCTCTCTGCAGTCAGATAAGTAGAGGTGGAAGACATCTGAGTTTTGCATTGACTCCTCTTCACAGGGAAGATACTGCTGATTTGGACTTGGACATCACCTGTTCTCACTGTTGTGATTTGAGCCAAATTAATTTGGTTTATACGTCTGAATTTGAATCCTAATTGTTCTGAGAAGTTAAATTTTATGCTTTGATTTTTTTTGTTTGAAATTAGACTTCAGGTTATTCACGAGTAACAGAACAAACTACAAGCAAAAACACACAACTGAAAAGCAAACCTTTAATAATAGGTTTTGCAGCCACATTAAGATTGTCGGATGTCAGAGTTTCTACCCAGTTTCCGCTTTTATTATTATTACTATGACGCAAAACATAACAGTGGACTAAAAAGAAAACCATTGGGAGAAATCTTATGTTATTTGCTTCTCTCATCTCAAACTAAGCCCGAGTTGAATTTTATACTACATCAACTGAAACCAGTTTAAAAAACATGTTTGGTTTTATTTGTTTCTGTTTTGAACATCACCATAATTGGTTGATTGATTGATTGATTTTTTTATTTAGAAGGGACCATGTGCAATTAATAACATAAATGTAAACATTTGATGCATTACACCAGAGTTAGCCTTAGGCTAATTTACATCTGCAGTAAAGTAAAGACTACTGTTATAGTTACTGATGTAGTATTGATTCAGATAATTATGAGTTTTATTTTATGTAAGTAAAGATTTTATGGAGGAGAAACTGACAAAAAAATCTGTTTCTTTTTAGATGATAAGGATTTAAAGCTAGGTTGTCAGCTGACTGTATTTCATTAATTGAAAGATTTAATATTCATTTATTCTTCATTGGGGGAAAACATATGTATCACTTATCAGTGATTGCAATGTCAGAATTTAGAATAAAAAAACAGTTGCAGTCAATTGAAATTAGGATAATTAGATTTTTTTATTGTATAATAAAACTCTAGACTGTTTCCCTCTGTAACAGTGATATGGTGTTGAAGTCATTAGTGGTCTGAGGGCTCCTCCTCTGGTGGCTTCATGTAACAAGTGTTCAGGCGCTGAGGTTTTTGTTCAGGTCTACTAATGGTTTGTGTTGGCACAGTAATACACAGCAGTGTCTTCAGGCTGCACATTCTGTCCGTTTAGAGTCACTGTGTTGCTGGAAGAGTCTAAGTCGATACTGAACTTGTTCTTTAGGGAATCTTTGTAGGATGTGCTGGATCCAGCTCCGCTTCCAATCCACTCCAGTCCTTTCCCTGCAGGCTGTCTGATCCAAGCTGTGTAGTAGCCAAGAGAATAAGAGACCTGACAGGTGATGGTCAGACGTTGACCTGGCTGCACAGTCACAGAGGCTGGCTGTGTCAACTGTTCCCACTTCACACCTGTGGAGAAAAACATGTTGAATTTTGAATCAGTGTAATAACAGTGAACAGTCACCTCCCCTCTGCTTACTAGGTGATATATCAGCAATCAGTCTGGAAAATAAGGAAAACAATCGATTACTCCTTGTGGCTCTAACTATCGGCAAGAAAACCATCATTCTGAACTGGAAATCACCGCCATACATATAACACATTGGAAAAACTTAATGATAGAGTACATATCCATGGAAAACTTATCTAACCCCACCACAAACATCACGATAGACTCACACTCTACCTGGACATCATTCATTAAATTCATCCAATCCTGTTTCCATGGTTCTTGCCGAATCAAACCAACCGTAATAGACACAAATCATGTTTTGAACAATATCTACTAGAGGCCTATTTGGTCAGGGCTCGGTCCTCATATTCTTTGCTCTCCACATCAAATATTCTATATTTTACACATCAAATAAATGTTTAATTTGCACATGAATGCACAGTCTCTACTTAACTGGCCCCCTCCTCACGGTCTGGGAGCAGTTTAGAAAGTGGACATGGTCACTTTGGGCTGGCTCCCTCCTAAAGGGTCTGGGAGCAACCCAAAATAGGACCAGCATCAGACAAAATTAAACAAACAAACCAACAATCCTTTAAAAGACAAACAGAGTAAAATAGGAAAACTTTCTAAGCATAAAGGTGTGCTGACCCAGCGTGCCCAACCCTTGCTGTCCCGTTCCGCTGCCCCGGGCGGCGCCCTCGCGTTACCTTACTGACAGGGCCTGAGGCCGAGGGGCAGATGACTCTAGTACTACGTATGTGATAGGGAAGGCAACAGGGGTTTAGCACTAGGACCCAGGTAAAGGGGCAGAGTCTATAAATAGGGAAGGGAAGATCACCTGGTCCTTTCTTTCTGCAGTCACACACCTGAGGGAGCAGCTGAGGCCAGCCTTTGTTTGGTTCTTGATTGGGTAGGCTCTATTTTTAAATAGGTTTTACTTTAAAAAATGTGTAAAAATCTAAGGCTAATAATGCATTTCTAGAACTAGATCTTAGAATAATTTGTAGTTTATTTTATTAAAGAGAAGTTGAAGAATTGTTAAAAAACCTGTTATTTATTAGACTTCGTGGTGTTGAGGGTCCAAAGCTTGGAGTGATTGTCCAAACACATCAGCTAAAGCACAGGTATGTGTAAGATGGTTTTAAACAAGATTTTAGTGTTTTTTTATATGAATGTAACAGGAATATTTGAAAATATAGATCCCAGTCACCTGCATGCCTTCAACGGCGGGAGGGGAATGTGTTTCTAAGTCAAACAAGGTATGATAATTGTTACATTTGCTTATGTTTCATGAAATGTTTCTTTTAAAGTGTTTTTGTATCTTACTATGTTTTTGTTTGTCTTGTTTCAAATAGAAGTTATTAGGAGAGCCAACCACTGTTTTTTCCCACCGGTTAGTTTTATTGTGCTCACACTAGATCCTTGAATGGGCCATATTTTGTGTTTCTGGCTGTGTTAAAAGGGGAAACTGAAAGACAGAGTAACCATTTTGCATGGGTGTTTTGTGTAATTAGTGTGTAGCATGCAGATAGTGTTTTTCCATAGTATTTGGTTTAATTGGTTTGAGTGTGTGGGTTATTTCCTTATTTGTTTATCAGTTTGGTTATAATTTGTCGGTGCTCAATTCTACATCAGTTTCCCTGGTAACGCAGTCTAGTCCTGAATTGTGTTTTTCTTTTGTTTTGATGTAACAAATAAACTTTATATTCCTATACTAATATAGTAGCCTCTGGTCCAGTTTGTTCTGGCACTTGTGTATGAAGCAGCGTGTGGTTTACACGTATATTGTCACTTGCAGCGGTTGGGGACGGTGGCAGCAGCAGTATTCCAATCCTATTTTGACTTTTTGTTTGTATTAATTATTATTATTAATAACCCGTACTTATAGTAATGACAATAATAACAAAAAGTTGTTGTTTTTTCTTCTTCGCTTGTAGTCCCCCGCCAGCCTCCTAGCCTATCTCTATTTTCTATCCAATAGGCATCTCCCTTCCCTGACAATATGGGAGGCATGTATTTACACACACGTACAAACACACGTACAAACACGTACAAACACACACACACACACACACACACACACACAAGATTAAGTCAATTTGTTTCTGCTGTTGTTATTGTTGTCATGTATATGTTTAGTTGATGTTTTTCTTTCCTTTGTCTCTCTCTTCTTCTTTCCATTGTATTGTCATGTCTATATTGTGTATTTTGTCTTGCAATAAAAAAAAAGGAAAAATAACAGTGAACAGTCAGTGTGCTGTGATCATACTGTCAGTGTCTCTGCCTCAGTGAGACTCACAGGATCCAGCAGCAGCAGCAGAGCTACAGAGAACATGGTTGGTATTGAAGGTGATCTGATGGGAGCTTCTCTTCTTCTGCTGCAACTGACAGCATGATATCAAGTCTTTATAGCAGACTGTGAGGAAGTTCACTTTGCATAGAGAAAGACACTGACAGGCTATAAGGTATATAATGGACCAGACAATTAATTGTGCATTGGTTTTTGTGTGGGGAAAATTGTTTTCTTAAAAATTTGGTATTCAATCTGCAAATCTTGTGGAAGAGTTTATCTCTAAATTAAACAAAATAATGTAAATTTTTTCAGCACATGCGTGATATCAATCAATGTCATTATAAAGATACATGGAAACCGTTATAATAATAAGTATTGTTTGAAACATTGCTTCAAAGGGCAAACAACACTGTAGTTTTTTCTTACGTTGCAACTTTACTATTCAATCAGCATTGTGAAAATAACAAAACAAGTAATACTGAGACGGCAAGTAAATGTCGATAGTGGTGGTGGTAAAAAGAGGAAGTACTTTTTGTATGACTCTCACATTATTGTCTCTCACTGTGGATCTCTGGCACAGTAATACACAGCAGTGTCTTCAGGCTGCACATTCTGTCCGTTTAGAGTCACTGTTTTGCTGGAAGAGTCTAAGGAGATACTGAACTTGTTCTTTAGGGAATCTTTGTAGGATGTGGTGGATCCAGCTCTGCTTCCAATCCACTCCAGTCCTTTCCCTGCAGGCTGTCTGATCCAAGCTGTCCAGTAGCCACTAAGAGAATAAGAGACCTGACAGGTGATGGTCAGACGTTGACCTGGCTGCACAGTCACAGAGGCTGGCTGTGTCAACTGTTCACACTTCACACCTGTTAAAAAAGACAATGTTTCGTAACAAATGATCAAGTTATACTGCAAAAAGAAGTGCTGACTTTGACAAATCCAGAGAGACTCACATCCAGCTGCCAACAGCAGCAGCAGAGCTACAGAAAACATGGTTTATGTTGAAAGTGACGTGCTGTGAACTCCACTGACAGCCTGATGGGAAGTTTTTATAGCGGAGTAACAAGGAAGGTCACTGAGTTTGCATAGAATCAAACATATGAAGCATCAATGTTGGTCTAACTGGAGCCAATAGAAGAGTCTGTTGACTGTTATTATATCTGCAGAGTGAAAACATGCCTGGAAATCACCTCTGTTTTACGTAAGATGTTTTAATTTCATTGTACATTATTTCATTATAACTATTCTTAATGGAAATATTAACATGAATCATGGATAATGGAAAACATATTCATTAAAATAATATTGCTGCAAACAAAAATACAGTGACGCAGCCGGGATCATGTAGATGGTATAAAGACTTAAGTCTGATGCTGCTGGTTTGAAGGTTTGCGTAAAAGACGATGATGAATAATTTCAGTGTTTGGAGATGTCAAAGAAAACAGTTGCTCAGGAACTGAAAGCTGTGTGACTAAAAAAAACTTTTTTTTTTTATATTAGAAAAAAACTAAAGTAGTTCACACATTTATATGTTACTTTCTGTGATTATAACTACATTTTACATTTATCTGTGTCTTAATCAAATATCATGCTAGGTGGTTAATTGTTGTCGGGATGTTGTTTGTTGTATAAAATAATTAACTTAAATATGCTGCCATACTTTTCAGTTCAAAATGCGCTGAATCAAGTTAACACATGACTTTTGTTTAGGGTAGAAAAGTATCAACTATCACAGTATCCAGTGTACATGTTAAACTTTAGTTCAGTCCAGGGTTCAAGTGTCAGTTAAGATCAATGAGAACAGCAGATCTGAGTGTCTCCTTTTAGAAACTTGACACTGACTGCCCTCTAGTGATTTTGTGAAAGAATCTGCAACATTTTTTGTCACTCTCATATTATGACTCACTTTAGATTCCACATAATTTACAAACATTAATGTATCTACAAAGCGATGCAGACGCATCATTATTTTCTAACCACTATCCATGAGCAAAATTTATAAATGAACATCAGATTTTATGGGATTAATATCCTGCCTTGATTCAAAACTGAAAATAAAGTTATGAAAGGTTGAAACTAAGTATTTGAAAACTCAAAATCTTACAAAAAAAAGTTTTGCAAGATCGACAACTAAGATTTGCAATCTTGCAAAATGTAAAAAAATTTAAAAAATCTCTGCAAACATTATGTTGTTTATGAGTTTTCCTTCTTCAGAACAATTTTTCAGAGTTTCAAATTTGTCACTGTTCTCCCAGTGTATTAGTTTGTTTTCCTGGTTTGAAACCTTGTAAATGGTGATCTGAAAACTGGTGTGCAAATGTGTGAAAAAAAGTTTTGAAACTCTGAAAATTACATAGTTTAGAAAATACAGAGGAAGCATGGGAGAAATAGTTCGTTGTTACTGTGTTATTAGAGCATGGAAGAACAGTGGATACTTTTAATACATCTCACACCCATAATATTACTGTGTAGCTACAGAATAACAAATAATAAAGTGGAGAACATGCAAGATTTTTTTTTTTTACAACAGCCTGCAAAGCTTTTCTATTGTGTGTTAGGAATGAAAATAAATTCTAGGCTCCTCTGTACCCTGTTTACATTCAAGGTCAGCTGTGTTTGAGCCACCTTCATATACAGTATATTTCACATTATTACATTACTGTATAACTTGAGAAAGGTAAGTTTGTTTTCACTCCAGCCTGCCTTAAGAGCTGTTGCAGTGCAGGATGATAATAGACTTGTTTCTCAATGTATTATTACAGATGTGGCTGGCCTTCTGAAGGGGGCGACCAAATCATTTGTTTTTTATTGAATTCAGTCCATTAGTATATTATTTTGGTAGCACATCACAACTGAGAAAAACACCTTAATGAATTAATAGATGCTAAAGGAGGTCATTCTTTCTTGTAAACTGTTCAGCTCTGTTTACTAGCACTGTAACTAGTAAGCAAGGGTGTCACTTTGTGTTGTAAAGTGGGCACATAAGGTCTCAGATTAGGGGTGTGATGATACATTTACACATAAGATGTGACGATGAACGAGAACAAGACAAAAATATAGTACTATTTAGATGAAACTATGATGGTGAAATATATGTGCTGGAGGTCTGAGTACTCCCCCTGAAGATTTTGAGCATTAAACTCGTAATTTCCTGCATTCTGGAAACATTTTCTGCTCCAATTTATGGTGGAAATGTCTGTTTTTTATGAGGGAAAACTATATTGCATGTTTTCTTATTGTGCAAATAAACCTTTCTCAAAGCATTTTCATTTCTTAGTTAACATTTCTTGGTGCTACTTTTCAGAATGTTTTTAAGAAATGCTTTCAAAAAGTGATGGGGACAAAATCAGCCATTTCAAAATGTGGTGGGGACATGTCAATGACACCTAAGCTTGTAGGTACCCAGCCTTTTAAGTTTAATACTTGCATATTGCAAACCAAAAGGAGAGAAAAGAATCAATCGGTTGTATTTGTTGAAATGTAATTAGTTTTATTCATTGCACATTTGCAGCCCCAGTGCCATAGTTCTTTAGTTTGGGTTTGCGGCACCTAAAAACATTTGACAGCTGAATCAGATTATTGAGAGTAAGTTTAGTTTTCAAGAAATGCTAAAGTACTTGCCTTTACATCCAAAGGTGTCTTTGAGGATGAACTGATGAATGACAACCCATCTGTTAATGATCATTGTTCATTCATTGTAGACAACAACAATGAACTCCAAGATGAAGCTGTCCATAAATATATATATCTGATTCTTTTCGTCCTCCTCCTCCTTCTTTTCGTCCTCCTGTGAGTGATGACCACAGCATGCTCCCTCATCTTCAGTGCTTTAGGCCATAAAAGAAAAGACAACAACACATATAGTTGTTACTGGTTAACTACAGTAAAGCCAACTTTGAAATGACTACCACACATAAAACGTGGTTTAATAGAATAATCACATTTAACAAAAGCAAACATTTTGGCTTAATAACTGTCGAGATTTGTCTGGTTGATAGTCTCCATTGATTACTGTAAATTAAGCCAGCATTTTACACAGCATAAATTAGCCTAGTGGCTAGCGGACTTTTCCTCTCCTCATAGCTTAACAAATTACATGTTGTTTTCGATCTTGCAAAACTTTTTTTTGTAAGATTTTGAGTTTTCAAACACTTAGTTTCAACCTTTCAGAACTTTATTGTCATTTTTGAATTAAGGCAGGATATTAATCCTATAAGAAGGAATATAACGAAAAACTGTAGGCTTTGCTTGAAGAGACACAATAAAGTTTGTTACAAATTTAATAACAAACTGGATAAAACCATCAAGTTTATTAAAGTTTGGAAGGTTATTAAAACATTTATCAATACATCTGTTAAGCATAAACATGTAGTGCGCGATATTTTAATCTACTCAGTTTCTCATCCACCACAGCTGTGTTGTAGTTTCACACAAGCACAGCGCTGATTCGGCTCATAGCTAATTGTTACAAACAAGCTAAAGTTAAAGATTTCTGTCTTTAGTAACTGTTTAGCTTAGTTTACCCCGTACATTAAAATATTACACATACTGTATAAACTCAGCTGCTGGCTGAACCAGCTCCTGTCTACCAGCAGCAGCAGCAGGAGAAGGAGAGACTGATAGAGACTGACTTCATCATTCTTTCCAAACTTCACTCATGTTGATGTCAGGGATATGATTTATTTATCTGAAATTTTAGATTTGTTTCCAGTGAGTGGTTGAGAGTGTTTACCTAACTTAAGAACATGTATGCTGAAATGGCTCTTTAGTTATTTACACTTTTTGGTAACGCTAAATAATATAGCCATTTCTGGTACTGAGGTGTGTGTGTGTGTGTGTGTGTGTGTGTGTGTGTGTGTGTGTGTGTGTGAGTGATTTAATCAAAGTTGTATTTGTACATTTATGGGCATATTTACCAGGATGGTGCAGACCAAGGTCCTACCACAGTGCAAGTCACTGCTGACGGTAAAGATGATGCCATTCCATCTCTGTGAAATCAAGGTCTTCCTCCAGGATCAGCTTGTCTTTCACTGGACTGATTGTTAGCCTGATGTAGTACTGCATTTGTATGGCTGAGTACTCAAAAGGCTTGATTTATAATTCTGCTAAATGTGTATAAAAAATCCTGCTAAATGTGGATAGAGAAAAACTGAAACTACTGTTGTCCTTAAAACATAAAGCCAAAACTGTAAACTACAAAAGTAGTGTAAGAAAAGTAATTGCAGAAATGTTGAAATGCTGTTTTGTGGAGAAGATGTTAACTTCTTATAGTCCTGATTGTGGCACTTACACACATCGATGCAGTGTCATTTTGGATTTTACAGTTTGCTAAATAAAAAAGATACACTTTAGACCATATTGTCTAGATGTTTTCTTACATAACCATGGATTTTGGATTAGCAGTGAGAAGGTAGAGACATCATGGGAGTTTGTATTAACAATAGAGAGATGTGTTCATGATACCCAACATTTTAATGTTTGATATGTTTATTTTTATTGAGTGCAAGGTGTGTGCAAAGTGGAAGACATCTGAGTTTTGCACCGACTCCTCCTCACAGGGAGGAACTGGTGAAATTGGAGAATCAATGTTTACTGTATGACTGGTTCCCACAAGAGTTTCATGTTTCAGTATATTTTTGTGCAATACACTGAAAAACACATTTATAAGTTGTTTATTATGCACAGTCGACAACATGTGAAGAATGTGAAGACTTTCTCACAAAGTGTTCATAAGTAAAATCATTTTCAGGACATCAGTCGGAGATTTTGGAGATACAGTGTTGATACAAAAAGACTAAAATCTGTTAGGAAAGGAGGAGTGCAGGGCTCTGAGAGAGACAATGGGTTAAAAACAGACGAATACACCAACAACATAAATATATCAGTGAATACCCCAGCAAGAATAAAAATAAGAAAACTTTTCATTATATTACAAGACATTTCCCAGTCAGACACATGAACTCTGTCATATTATGTTAAACAAAAGCTTCAGTGAAAATTACAACTTTTCCACCCTCCCTGCAGTCACATTAGTGAAGGTGGAAAACAGCTAGATTT